AATTCCTACCGTCAAAAGAGAGGTTTCATGCACAAGATCCTAGCTTTTTGTGCGTGTGTGTGTGCGTGTAATGGAAGGGCTATATGTAGTATTAACTGTTTAGACTAAGCAGGAAGAATTAGTCCATCTTTTCGAGGCAGAAGATTAGGCTGAGTGCACTAAAAGTCTCTATGCCCCTCCTCCCTCCCAGACTTTTTTGTCACAATCAGTAGCCCTTTTAGAGGGCTGTGCTATGGTTATGTAATTTCAGCTCTGCTCAGTACAGAAATTTATTACTTGTCTTCATCATCATTGCACAGATCGGCAATGTGCTGCACGTAGTTTTAACAACATCCACATCGCAAGAGGATCCCAAGCTCGCGCTCTTTGTGTGCACACTGCATGTTTAGAGGTGGATTTGCTCTCTGACTTGGCTGCAGTTGCTGTATGATCACTAGCTGCTCTCTCCCTGCTAGCTGCAGGGATAGATCACGTTAGTTTTTGTCATGGTGATGAAATTCAGTAGCGCAAACCATCCGAACGGCACGTTCCATGAAGTGCATGCAACGAGCATGCACAAAACAGAGGAGGCTAGCATTTTCTAAGGTGTCCCATGGAACTGGGCCCCCGCTCTAACTGGATGTCGCTGGAGTTGTGAATCCCCGAGAACGCCCCTCTGAGTTGCTATTTTTAAACACTTGCCACCAGACAAAGGATGCCAGGAAGGACTTCCTGAAAAAAGCTCAACTCGCAGGTACCTCGGGAGGTGGCCCAGCTAACAGAGCAGTCATACCTCTGCGTGCGTGCCTGGCTGGGTCTAGAATGGCTTGTGATGTATTGCAAATACACGGTCGCTGCCAACACGTTTCACTTCCAGCAACGTCTCGCCACAAAGATGGAGGAACTCCTTTGCTGAACTGACCAGGAAACTAATATGCATGACTTTCTGCTGCAAATCAGCAAGGGACAAACAAAATAAAATAAAGGAAAAGCCCAGCAGAATTTACCGAGTCCTTTCAGTTGAATGAGAACCCGCTGGGTTTTAATTCTTTGTTGTGCTTCCCTAATGCACGGGGGCAGTATCACTGAAATGAAGCTCTGCTGCAGAGCCTTGCTCTACTAAAACTTGGGGGAGCAGCAGGGAGAGGCTGCCAGTTTTTTGTTGTGAGCGTGATCAAGTGTGTGTAGGGCTGAGATCTGCTTGCATGTAGCTGTGCGGAGCAAACCCAGGTCCAGCGTTCTCAGAAACCGCACACCTCTCTTCCAGCTGCTCCTCCGCCAAATATATGGCTCTGAACTATAGACTAACAGAGCAGAGGGGCTTGTGTTGACTTAAAAAAAAAAAAAATACTGCTGGGAGCTTGCCGTGTGCGTCGGCAACATGACGGTATTCTTCGGGTAGCTTTCACAGCGCATGATAATGAGCAAAGGACTAACAATTATCAAATAGCCCCTTATTAAAACCACAGTAAGAAGCATCAACTTCAGCCGGCGTGACTCTGAAAAGCTTGCCGATCTGATGCAGCTCGCGGCAAAATGGTTTTAAAAGATCTTCTAAACAGAGTAGATAATATCAACAATTATCCAATAGCGCTTCATTAGGAGGAGGTATTACTCCATTGTGTGGTGCTGCATGTGACAGTTAGCGAGAGTGACAAGAAGCACTTGAATAACATTATGGATTAATAAGCAGATGGGGCACTGTGCAGGCCGCATGCTGAGGTGACATGCCTCTTGCTTACTGAGCCGCTCCGTAGCTCCTGGCTTTCCCTTTGAAGATGGTCCTTATTAGTGCTGTGGGTTCCTTAGTATGTAAATGGCGAGCTCCGTTTGCTGTTTTTCCTGGAGACGGTTATAACCTGCAGCCCCCAGGCCTATGCCCGGCGTTGCCAGAACGCACTCTGGGGTGGGGGGTGGTATGTGAATCACGATTTGTGGAAGAGGGAGATGAAGGACTTCATTCCAAAACGCTCACTTTTAAGGACATTATTTATTCATGCTTTGCTTTGGGAGTGCAGAAACGCACGTCCCTCTATGGCTGTTTTCTGAGGCTCGTCGCTGCGGTGTTCGCTTGGAGATCCCGTTTGGGACCCGCGGTGCCAGCAGACTTCCTCGTGCAAAAATGCCATTTCCTTTTGGAGACCTCATTGTTTCATGTATTTTTGTAAAAGCCTCTCCGAATGGCCTGTGCACCTGGCCTGCCCCTGCGTTTTCCAAGCTGCTGCAATCTTCCAGGGATCCTCGGAAAAACCCACGGGTTTGAATTCAGGCTAAGCAACCAGCATGAAAAATAAACCGATTAGGAAAAGTCAGAGTCAGTAGCCTGGCTCCAGAAGCTGTCCGGGATCTTCTCCCTGAAACAACACATGGCTTTGCTGTATTAAAAGACCGAGTCATTCATATTTATAAGACGCTTTGAATTTTAGGAAGCGGCTTGTCCAGAAAGTGTCAATTTTCCTCTGTACAATCACTAAAAATTTACCAGGCGCAGAGAGCAAACGAGCTGTCTGTTCTGAACACAATCGTAACCGAAGTAGATTGAAACCATAACCCGCATCAAAGGCAGGAGGGTCTTTACTTTTTAACAGATTATCATTTTTATGGGAGCTTACCACATCCCACTCGCAGGCAGTGGGTTTGCAAGAGATTCTCAGTGCACAGAGATTCTTATTTCTTGGTTTAACATAAACCTATATTTATTATTTATTCTGTGTACATCAAAAAGCGCTGCCTCTGCGCATCCATAGAGTCCCACATCTGAGACGTTTTGGGGGAAAATAATTACAGTGATGGGAACATGTAGAAACCTCTCCTGTATAATGAGGGCAGGGGAAGTGTAATGAGTGTTCATTGATCATGTGAAAAAAGTGGTGGGAGGTATCTGGTCTGCAGATCTCCGCTCTGCCAGGCAGGGGGGCTTTCTTTGGCTGGATGAATTATCAGTTACCCCTTGGGGGAGGCCAGGAAGCTGATTTTGCTCTTGCAGCCCGGTGTGCATGTGCCTACAGTGCCACGCTGCTGAACAGGGGACAGCAGGGGTCTGCCTGCACCGTGCATGTGCTGAACCTCATTCCTTTAATTTGGACGGGGCGCTCTGCAGCACGAGATGCTTTGTGCTGCCGGGGCTGCCCGTTTGCTTACGTCTGCTGCACGCAGGGCTGGGGCCGTGGCCGCCGGCCAGCAACAGGCCTGGTAATAGGCATGTGGCAGTGTATGAACCAAGGCGTTCTCCGAGGGCAGCGCCACGGCCTGCACATGCCGTCAGAGCAGTTGTATCAGTCACTCATGTGCCACCAAGGAGGAAGGCTCACGATTGCAGATCCGCAGTGAGGGGAGCTAGTACATCCTTCACCGTTTCAAACTCTCTCCCACTTTTCCTCCACAGATGGCAGCTCTGCAGAGCCCTTTCTACGGGGATAAAATGAATCTGTTTTCTCTCTGCCAAAAGATAGAGCAATGTGACTACCCTCCTCTCCCAGCTGAACATTATTCTGAAAAGGTAAGGCAGGAGGGACGTCCGCGCTGCTGGGAACGTACGTGGGGAAATGTGTGGGCGCTGGGGCAGGAGGGGAAGGCTGCCTGGGCTGCGGCTGCAGCGAGGCCCTTGCCTGACACCTGAGCAGGACACGGGTTTTTCTGCATAGCCTGTGTCTGCCCGAGGTGCGTTTTGCCACAGGTCCCAGCCCCAAATGAACCCACGGAGGCCTGGGATGGCTGGGAGCTTTCTGACAACCGGAGCTCACGTGCACCGGCAGAGCACAGCAGTGACACGTGGGGGAAACCTGCCCCCCCCCGCAATAACATCCCATAAAAGAGTGTTTAAAATTTTGTCTGTAAAGTCCTCGGTTGTTTAAATGGACAGCAGGGGAAAATGATACTAAAGGAAGGCAGGGAAGTGATTAGCCGAGTACAATAAGCATCCGTGCAGGAGCCATATGGGGGCTTTTTAAAGTCTGGTTAATTTTATGGCCCATGAAAGTGAGCGATGGAAGCAGTCGCTGGCCTGGCTGTCGCACGCCGTGACTGTGCGTGCCTGCTCCCCCAGCTCTGCGGTAGGCTGAAACCCAGCTGCAGCCCCGCGCTCTCCGTGTCCCGGGCCATTCACGGGAGTGGCCAAAGCTCAGCCCGACTCGAAGCTCGCAGAACACCTTCTGCTTGGATCTGCCTTGCAGGGGAGCCTGTCTCTCGAGACGGGATGCACTGCTCCAGGACAGCCAGCTCTTTCCGTACCACCTCTTCCAGAAAGGA